CAGTTGTCCAAATAACCTTGTTCCTTTTTCCATCTAAATGCAAATGGACGGGTACTAAAGGAGGTGGAAACCACTTCCACTTGGTATCTGCCCATTTGTGTGTGCACTGTTGTAACCATAAGGTTTTGTTCTGGTATTGTGAGAAATGCATTGCCCGCTCACTCATCTATGAATTTCAAGAAGGTTTCAGACGGCCCAGGATGTGATGGGAACAGTAGGTATTAATACATGTGTTGTAATGTAATAGGAGTCTCAATGCTTGTTGTTGATGGTGTCAGTGACCAGATGTACAACAAAAATTTTAGCTTGTGAGGCAGGTTGGGACATGTTTTTAATTCAGGTTTATGTGCAGTTTTAAAAGTAGTTTTGTATTCTAGAACACAAATGCATGTGTTGTTGGAAAAATAATGTTTTTTTTTCTAGCTCCAATGGCATCAAGCCTTAAGACATGACGTCTGACAGTTTCTTTAGGTTTTCTTTTAAGGTTGGGGTTCAGGTTGTTCTAATGCACTGTTCATGCATTTTCCTACGAAAAGTAATGCACCAAAATTTGTACATATCCAGTGTAATCATGAGCCAGTAATTGGTTTATAACCCACCTATTCGGGAAGGCTGCAATCACGTGACCAGTGTGGATGACGGTAGTAAAGAAGGAAGTGGTCTAGAAAGGAGGCAGGCTGGGGCGGTGGATGGGTTACAAAACACAGGACTTTCCCCTGAAGACCAGTGTTCGGAACCATCACTTTAAGGTGCCATGTTTCTTTTTCTAAACCTAGCCTTTGCAACTTTAGGTAAAGTATATAACATCATTCATGGGGTGATAATTCAGTGGGATATCATATGAATCATTGGATGAGGATATGTTGTAGGATTTGCATCTGAGACCTGCCAAATCCTCTCTGGACACACATGCACCCAGTCTGAGTATCCAAAAAACTGCATTGAGAAACTGAGTTGCATGTGTAACAAAAAAAATCACATTTTAAGACAAATAATATAAAGAAGACTGACAGATACATCATTTTACAGAACATGTAAAGTCTAAATATTCAGCACACAGGTGACACTTCCCATGGGAACAGTTCCATGGTGACCATCTTGGAAACTAAAGAGCCACCTCTTTATTCATTGTACACAATGCCAAGCACACAGTCGGTCTAAAAATGGTAAGAAAGCTGTTGTCTCCAAGCACCTTTCTCTCCCAGGAAACTTAGGAAAAGCTTTCTCCAGAAGGTCACAAGTATCGACTTGCATTTTTGGACATGATCACAGATGCAGCTGTGTGTAGGAAACAACAAACCAAATGGAGAGAGAAGTTGCCGTTTGACCACATATTTTAACGGACTAGAAAATAAACTGGATTAAGTGTGAAACCTTACAAAGGCTCTCTTTAAGTAAATGGTTGTTTAGTCACATGCTGGGGATTGGTTTAACTGTGCCAGTCTTTTGAAAGTGTGAGAACTGAAAAGCACCACTTCTCAAATGCCACATTTGATTACATGTTTATGGTTGCATAAAGAACAACGCTAAAAAAAATGTGGCTATTCCATCTGTTGCTTTCTATTTGTCCTGTGTTGGTTTGTAAATAACTGTCTGTGGCTCATTGTTAAGTAGCTTAAAAAGGCAGTGGGGTGGAACCACTGAAAAAAGCACTGCAAACATCTGTGCTCTTTTGAATGAAAAGCAAAAAAAAAAGAAAAAAAAGAATAATACCTCTGATGGAAGAGGCAGTTAAAAAGACCGAAGCTACAGGGAGCCTGCCTTCGCTTGCTGAATAAAACTCCACGAACTATTGGAATTAAAACACGTTCCAAAGGGTCAGTATCATGAGAGCTGAAGTGAAACTTGAACTTAAGGGCTCTGTACCAGCTGTACAACTCTTACAACTAACTTAACTTTATATTTCAGTACGACTAACATGCAGTTATCTTTTCCGAGCTGCAGTTTATAAGCATCGTTGCCTGTTTGCCGTTTATCTAACCTAATAAATAGTTGTGTTACACTCTCATTTTGTTAGTCAGAAAGTCACAGACCACAGCCGTGGAAGTGGCTGGCAAACAAGGAAGCAAGATACAGACACTGAGAGATTTACTACCCAGCAAGGTTAGCAAGAGAGACAGACAGACAGGCTAGAGAGCGATGCACTGCAAGCTAAGTGACTCTTATTTGCTAACTTCAAACTTTGATAGAAGAGAACAGTTTACCTAACTGCTGTCCTGGCAATTCACTCTTTTTCTCTCTTTTCCTGGCTAGAAGGGTAGCTCTACTTCATCCCCTCATGGAAGTTGTAAACTTTAACACTCCCTTTGATACAAAGGGGTGTCACGGCCTTGGCCGTAATGAGGGGAGGCGGGGCCCTTGTGTAATTTGCTGGGAATGTGCAACTTGCATATTGAGCGTAGTGAGCGTAGGATCACCTGCCTGTGTGTGTGTGACATTTCAAGCATCCTATGGGGCCCTGTGCCAGCTACGGGGCCTTTTGCGGCCACTTTTTTCATTTATGCAGCCTGCTGGCTCTGGTGTAAGGTGCTAGGCGACTTACTCAAATACTAATGCTTCTACCCTGTTTCATCTACTGATGAAATGTCTAAAGTTTGCCACAGATCTGATTTAAAGTTTTTAACCAAACTCCCATATGAAATGTCATCAGTTTGGACAACAGAGGCCACAATGCAGTTGTAAAAATATCAGCTTGCCTTCAGTATTTATGACTGAGATGAATAGTAATGCCAACAGCTAGCTAGCTAGTGGTAACGCTAATGTGTCCCAGCATCACAAGTCAGAAAGAAAGGTATTCTGAGACTTAACAACATCGCCAAGCGCTTTAGCCTATATATTTTCCAACTGTACAGCACATTGGCATTTTAACACATCATAATTAAATTGAACAAAGATAATGAGTACATGCCAGCTGAGAAAATGAGGTCTTACCTCGTGAAACTAGGTCTGTAGTCAGTTTGTTTTTCAGAAAGTAACCAGAACCTCTTCTGGGCCGCTAGCTGCTCTGAGTTATGTGAAAATTGTCACTCTAATGTTCCTAATATTTATCCTGGTGTGCAGAGGTGGAGCCAGACGTTGTAAACCTTCGGTGCTCAGAGCAAACCTCTGGAGGGGTATGGGTCATGCTCCCCTGGGAACATTTTTTCACTATTTACAGCAGCTATATACATAACTCAACAAATGATGAGGATGACTCATTTTCACACCTGTCATCTAAATAGAGGCAAACTTGTCTGATCTTACTATTTTTAAATTACATAACATAGCCTTGGTAGGGTAGGAGTTTGGTGTAAACAGCATTAATAAAGTTGAAATGCATTTTGGTTATACTATGCTGCAGTACATGTTCACAGAATGAATGTTTTGCTGACAAATTTGCTACCTTTAAATCCATGGCATAATAACTTGGGCCCAGACCAACAGATTCATGTTTACTCAATTATATTAGATTTCTTTAGGGAATAGCATAGTTTCTGGGCTCTCAAGAAATCATTTGGGGCTGGAGCCCTGGTTGTCACCCCACCACTCTGCCCCTGCCAGTGACAATAATTTTTCACAGCTCTTGAACTCGTTTAATCTGACTTAAAGGGGCAATAAGCGGATATTCATCATTTCTAGATTGAAGAAATTAAAAAATCGCTATGTGAAGAACTAGAGGTGTAATTTCATCTGGAGTATAGCATGACCTCACACACCCTCTCTCTGTGTTGATCTCCAGCCCCTTGTTTACAAGCCGGTCCGGCTGCGCGTTCATGTACCTTCATGTGAATCGCTGCCTCCTCCCTGCTCTCGGAGCCCTTGGCCCTCCCTCCCTATAAAAGGCTACAGCCAGTGAGCAATGGCAGCGTGTATTTTGGAAGCAAAATGCGGAGAGCGGAACGTTCACCTGAAGACGACCAGGATCCGACATTACCTCTAAAGAAACATTCTTTCGCCAAAATCATTGGCGAAGAAGTTGTTGGATAAAGAAAGGGACAGAACCCGGATTAACATTGGCCTTGCATTTCCAAGGTGGAGAGCACTGTGAGAGCTAAAGGGGCTACAATCTGACTCGGAGCTAGCTCTTCTTCTCCTGGACAGGTACAACATAAAGTCAAATGTCTGTTTTAATTAGTGTTACAGTAACGTTAGGCACATGTCACTATGTCGATTCAATTAAATTTATGTTACAATCATAGCATGGGTTAATGTCCGGAGCTTGAGTTATTAGCGGCTCGGTCCCAGCAATGGGTCAGGCGTTACTGTTAGGTGAGTAGCCCGGCAGCCCAGCTAACATTTGCAATTAGCATTGTAAAATGTAGCCACGCTAAAACATTGCTCTCACTCACGGAGAAGAGTAGGAACATCAGCGTTAGCTCCCATTGTTAGCACTAACCGGGATCCGGCAATGGCTCTAGCCGAGTCGGCTGCCACCGGCTACTGGAGTAACTTACAGCTATGGAGCGCTTCTACCAGCTCTTGTAGTCACTGAGTCTCACCTCCATGTCAGCAAATATATTACATTTATTAAGTACCATCATCATTGAAGTAGGCAGGGGAATAGCTAAACACAGCAGAGACCAAGAGTGAGTGAAAGACATCAGCTAACTGCTAAACTAAATTTAGACGAGGCAAGTGGGGGGTGGGTCGGTGGCGGTGGAGAGCAGAGGTAGAGGGAGGTGTGGCTCATGACACACTTTGCTTTGGTCTACAGGCAGTGCACAACAGCAAACGATTTCGCTTTTTGCCCCTTTAAGCTTTTTTTTGATGTGCAAGTAGCACCATAATATCTCACCAAGGTTAACAGTAATTGAGCAAGATAACTGATTCAAATTACTTTTTTGTCAAACACAAAGGTGTTAAGTGGTTAGGAAATCACACAAATCCCCATAACGACTTTCATAGTCACACTGATCACTATCATGAAGTCATTCAATTCTTGTGATGATAGCTTTCAACAAAATAAATGTCTATTTGTGATACTACTTATTTCATAAAGATGATAATGATTAAATCGATGATTACAACACATGATGTGCTTTAATAGTCTGTAAACAAACAGAAAATGCACAAGAACAGTCATATTATGTTGTTTTGAAGCCTTTAAATTAGTCTCCAGTTATTTGTGCAATTACACAGACACCTGTTTCATTCATTCCACATTTAGCTGTATTATAAAAAAAACCCTTCTCTCTGACTATGAAAGACAACTAGCCCTAATTGAAAAGGACAACAAAGCCTTTATGGCAGCAAATGAACCTCACAACAGTTTAAAAGTGGCTATAGAGTTATGCTGCATGAACAGGAAATATTGCACATTGATAAAAAGGCTCTTGGGATGACATCATTATTAATTAAGTGAAAAGAAGTTTGTGAAAATTAGATGAGCGAGGTGGAAGGGTACAGATATCTGTCTGAAGCGGTCTACTGAACAATTAACACCCCCCCTCACCCATAGCTATCAAATATACTTCATTACCTGCAAGCACTCTCCAAGGAAAGGAAAAAAAATCATATCATATGTACAAAGACAATAATTTTAGGGAAAAAAAAGACAATCTCTAATTGACATCATTTAATACAGACCTGGCATTAAAAAGGAAAGTAGCACATCAAGTTTAAAATAAGTTAAAGAAATGAATTTGTTGAACTCATTTGGCCGACTTCCCACGTCCCTACAAGGTCATCACCATTAAAAAAAATCCCATAAAGACAGCCAACTTAGGAAAAAATGTGCAACAAGACATGAGCACATTTCAACATAAATATGGATTTATGAGTAATGAGACATTGCTCTCCTGCCATTGAAAAAAGACAGTTCCAAATACAAATAACATCGTAACAAGTCTTTATATACAGTAGCATACAACTCAAATATCTGATCATAGAAACAGCAATGTTCCTGATGTTTTACTTCTACAGTAAGGTCAAGTTATAATCTGATTCATGTTATCACTAAGAGACACCCACAACTTTGATCATTCTTGCCATTTTGGGAATGGACAGTGCAAGTCTAAGAAACACAAATATTTTCTTACTAAAGACCCTTTTTTGACCCTCAAACTGTTTGACTATAAACATACATACTGTCAACGTTTTTGGACTCTTCAGTAGAGGTCTTCACAGGTCGAAAATTTTGGACACGATTAGCAGTGTGCTTGTAGAAGAGCTACCCAAACCAATTCACAATTCATCTTTAAAAAACTTGGGTCTTCAGTGTTTTTCCTTGGGATTTACTCATCTGGACATATATTTCAGAATTTGGGACTGAAATGGTCTTGATTAAGCATATTGACAAACAGATCGAGACCCTGCCTGGATGTTTCTGGTTTGTGTCTCAAGACGCGTTTCCACCAAACACTTTAGGTATAGTACCCTTAGAACGGGTACAAATCCCATATGAGGATTAAACAAAACCCTGGATCTGTAAGTGTTTCCACCTAAGACAGTACTCTTAAATATAGGTGGGGTTATTACTTGATATGTCACTGCTCTCTCCAGCACTTGCTGTATTTTCTCTTCACAGGCAATGCAGAGGAACGTCAGCACCGTGCTAAACAGGGTTGTATGTAGACATTTTCAGAACAAACAAGAATAGGCTGGAGTGTTTGGGGTCTCTGTTGCAATTGATGGAATATTTAAAAATAGCGACTCTGCACAATGAGTCCTTAGAGCAAGAGTGTACATTTTCTCATGACCAAACAAGGAACTAGTGTTTCCAGCTACACCTTTTAGTGTTGGATCAGTGTGCTAGATCCCTCAACAGAGAGGTGACAAAAAAAACGGGACAGAATGGAACTGTTCTTTAGGTACCATCTACAATTCTCAACGATGGAAAAACACGCTAACCGTTCTAATGTGTAACGAATTGAACTGAACCAGACTGCTTGGTGGAAACGAGGCTTTGATGAGTAGAAACCAAATGAACCCATGAAGACCTCTACTCTCCAGTTCATCCGACTGAACAGCTGAGAACATAAGATCTTTATACACACTTATGAGCCCATAAACCTTCAACAAAGCTAATTTAGGTAATGTGATTACTGTAACAAATTTCCAATAGAAACCTCTAGTATGTAATGATTGTTTACCTTTGAAGTTTGAGACCACTTTCATTGAATTTAGTGTTTTTGAGGTATATGTACTGTATCATCTATCACTGTACAGGTTTTTACTGCTGGTTCTGCTGGTAAACTATAATCAGTAATATTGCACAAAAAGCTAAGACAACGAGATGTGACAAAAGCATGATTGTTCAATTAAGAGCACATGGGATTCCATGATAAGGCATTGCTTTAATGAAAACATCTGGACAAACTGTTCACAGTTTTAATTAATGCTCGACTGACTAGCGATTATGACGTCCTCTTTAGTACTGATTGTTTCAGTCAACACAAAACTACAACTCAACCTATTCCCCCCTTAGTTCCCACACAACAAGTACCTGATATGTAAAGATGGAAGCAGCTGGCCAATTACAAACCGAGCAGAGTGGGCGGGTAGGGTCATCCTCGTGGATGACAAAGCAAAGGAGATGTGTGAACAGAAATTAAGCTAATTTAAACAACCACCAGGCTCCAGTTTCACCTGTGGATTTACGTCTGCAGACTGAAGCTGCCATTCGACGGTGGTGAGAGGTTGTTTCATACACAATAATTCTATGCTACAAGCACAGTTAAAAAAAGAAAAAATACTCCCCATATACATATTACATCCACATATTTTGCAGACATCTGTGGAAATAATATCAATTTGGGATCTTTGCCTTATCTAAAATTAAAATTATTTATTGAGAATCTATGATAGATTCCAGGTGGGAGAAAATAAAACAATAATGTCAAAGGGCCAGCTTTTCTTGTTTTAATGCTGCTAACATAGCCTATTTACAATCATCTATTGTATGCAACAGAAATAGCCTCTGTTTTCACTAATAAGCTGATATGTCCTGGCCGTTTACCAAAGAAGAAGAGTAAAATAAACCCAACAAAAAAAAGGGAATTCATTAATTGTGCTTTTTAACCCACAAATCCACTTCATCGTTGAAATGGGACAATTTCAAGAGGCACCACTTGAAGTGCTTACATCAGTCAATGAGAATCTCTAAAGCTATAACAAGGACTGAAAATACAAATAGTAAATATAGTATATTTATATATTTATAAAGTTGATACAATTCCCTTCCAGTCCCATGTCCAGTTTAAAAAATATTTTCTTCAGGCTGTCAAACGTCTGGCATGAAGGATCCCTCTGTGTCAACGCGCAAAGCCCTTATGATGCTCTAAGAGAGAGATGTCTTTGCTGGGGTTGATTCTGGATGACACAGGAAGCTTGTGCTAAAAAGCAGGAAGAGTTTTAATGTAGGAGGTTGTTTTAAGTAGAAGACAGAACACCTCTGCTGAGGAGACTTGCTGATTTTGGAGATTTCTGTTGACGTCAATGATGTGTTTCAGGTATCCTTCAGCTAACCAGTCTGCGGTTAAACCGTTACTTCATTCTTACTGGCAGTGCGGTATGTGTGGTGGTGGCCAGGAATGTACTGTAGGTGGTCCACCGTGTGTGTTCGTCGGTTGGCAAACGCCTGCCTCTTAGACGTGGATGCTTGGTGGTTGACCGTCAGCGTGTTGTAGGAGTCGTTAGAGGCACTGGGTTGAGAGTGCATCTTGGTCATCTTGTGGCGGTCCATGACGGGCGTGACGGGCATTAGCATGTCGGCATGAGACATAGCCCGCGCCATCGCCTTCTCCCGGAACTTGTCACGCCTCATCGCCGGGGACAGCAAGGGATCCTGGGAGTGGAGGCGGTCTGCTGACAGTAGCTGCTCCTCTGAGAGGTGCCGGCTGCTGCTGTATGCGGCAGCCGCCATGACGCCGTATGAAGATAAGCCGTAATCTCCACGACGTGGCGTCCTGGGAGGAGACAAGACGTGGTCCTGGGACATGGCCCTCTGGACTCGTCGGGGACGCTGGCGCTGCTGGTGCTGTTGGGGATCCGCGTTCAGCTTCACCATATGGGTTGGTCCCCGGCCACCAAAGTCAGAATGATGATGCTTCCTCGTGTAGTATTCATCTATGTCCTTATCACCTGAGGAGCAAAAAGACAAAGGTAATCAGAGAGAGACAACACTATGAAGACTTCTGGCTTGCTCTGAATAAATAAACCCTCGTACAATATGAATGTGCTTTCCACTCTAGTTAGTGAGTCCAGCATTTCCTAGGAGGCCATTCAATAACACTAACAGCCCTGGTGCATTTGAAACAAAACCATGCATGGATTTCAAGCTGTAGTACAAATTTGGGGAATTTTTTTGTCACAGTTAGGCAGCAAGATCACAAAAAATATTTGAACTGAGTAATGACACAGTACCAAGGATGCGATTATATTGATACCAATGCCTGCTTTTCAGTCCAATTCTTTATTGATTGCCTTATTGATTCCTGGTCAGTTTTCTGTTGGTAAAATTGGGCCTACACAGGTTTAATTATCTCTGAGACTGAAGACAGTGTAGCTGCGTGGCACTAGTATCATTATAACACTGGATATTAATTCTCGGTATAGATGTGCTGCTCAATTCGAAAGTAGTGGCACTCATTTGTAGAGTGTCATGGCATTGCTGGTGTTTAAAGGGCCAGTGTGTAATATTTGGCATGGTTTATTGTCAATCTGAATCTGAATCTGAATATTCTACCCATTAATATGTTTATACAAGTGTATAATCGCTATAAAATAAAATTCGTTTGGTTTTCGTAGCCTTATAATTATGCTTTTATATATATATATATATATATATATATATATATAGCAAGGGCCTTGCTTTAGAGAGGTCACCACCTTTGCCGCCATGTATGTACGGCAGACCGAGTGGACAATCCAGCCAGCCAGAGAACGCGTTTCGCGTGTATAAATGAACCAACGAAGACAGCGGAAGGAAAGAAGAAGGAGGAAGAAACAGCAGAGAGTGTTAGTAGTTCGTCGATAGAGAGTAGTGAAAAGTTTTTTTAGTTATAAAGTTTGCGAATGGACCACACTTACCGCACAACAGGAGAGAATGAACCCGAACCGTCATTTGCGAGGAAAAGAAGACGCAACTTCACTCCTTGTGATGCACTCTCTGCGGCGCTTTTCCTCCTGGTGATATATCTCCCAACGATGGTAGCAGTAGCACCGAATCCCATTCTGTGCATTCAGCCTCTCTTCTCACCCGCTCAGCATCAAACACATGGAGTTCCTCATCTGTATGCTCCGGCTCAAACAGGTATGGCTCTGGGTCTGTGTCCGCTACAAGAAACTCTTCAAAATCGCGTTCAAAGTCGTCCATTGCAGCTACTATAGTCCGGAGATATTGCTAGGCTAAATAAACAGCTGACCTCTGTTACCGGCTACGCTGTCAGTCAGTGTGCGGGCTGGAGATTGGTGGAGCAGAGGGGGGAGGGGGGTCCCCACTCAGTATTGTAAACGAGTATGTGTGTATAGTTATGAAGTGTGTCTGTTACGCTAGAAGAGTCAGAGTTTGGGACGGAGTGGAGTGTTACCAGAGTTTCTGGAGTGCTCAAATAAACGGGCCTTTTTCCCGAACGCTCCTCTGGTCTCCTGCTCGTGAGGGATTCATTACAATATCGTAACATGGCTTAGATTTCTAAATAAACATTCACCTCGTTGCTAGATAGACCTACTCCTGAAAAAGTAGTGCGCAAGGCTTTTTGTCCCTACGAGGCCACTGTCATTTACCTGACGGGAGGGGTGAGCGAGTGAGCCCTGCAATCTAGAATTTGACCACTGATGTCACTGTTTTCAACCCATTTTACACACTGGCCCTTTAAGCTCATGTCATGTAGAAAGATGTTTCAGCATATTGCTGCTGTTTCCACCTTAACTTGAAATTGAAACAGTTTCTTCCTCTGCATCATGAATCCTTCTTGCTGCATGCAGCAGCATAGACGCAGGGGTCTGACGTCAGGGAAGCATGCCAGCATTGATAAAAGTCGATAAGGTTGAGGGCATACACCACCAACTGATTGGCCAATGTGGAACCTCTTCTCCATTCCCATCCTCACACAGTACCAGGGGCCTGTTTCACCACATTTAAATTCATTGACAATTTTTCACATTGAAAGTTTTCACACCAAGGCCAACTCAGATTTAACTTCCCACAAATGATTCACGTTTGGTCTGAAAAGACCTTTACAACTAGCAACCTGCAGTTTGCAGCACGAGATAATTTCCTGTTAATTTTGACACATTTCATTAATTAAACAGAAGTTTCTGCATGAGCATGCAGGAGCCCTGTCGGACTTGCGAAGTTATTTGCAATTTGCAAGCACCAATCATTTGTGATGCTGCCACAGTTTGAAATCTGCATGTAAGCAGTGCTCAGAAATTACTCTTGTGAAACAGGCCATGGACCACCAGGGCCAAGAGTGGTTGTAAAGCATTAGAGAGGAATATGTTGATGCATTTAGTCTCGATCATATTTGTCCTACACCTCATGGCTGCTGCTGAAGGGATGGTGTGATAATGGTAATCAACACACAAAGTTTAATTGTCCACAGTTTGAATGGTTTTGTCCTCTTTTTTCATGAAAAAACAGAACAACAGCAGACTCATCAGTGTAGTTGTCCTTCGGTGCAGAGAGGACTCATCAGCATGCTACAATACTCAATAGTTCATGAGCTGGTTGTGCCTGAACGGGCAACCAGTTGTTTAAATCCCCTGCCAGAAAGCAGGTCGGGCTCTCCGCTGGGTGTTCCTAATGGCGAAGTCATTTACGGCTGTATTAACCACAGGCGGCAATCAGCTCTTGGCAGACTTTTATCTACCTGTTTTTGGCAGTGCTGGCTCACAGGGGGACACTACCACAGAAGCTCACTGATTAACTGTTGCGGCTGAGGGGTCGTTACCTCTGCAGTAGTTAATTATTGCAGAACACTGAGGTCAAATGGCCGTTTTAGGACCATACCACGCTTCACCGAGTCGTGGAGAAGAGGGATGATGGGAATTGTTTGTGTGGATGCTCGGCTGCTTTTGGAGAGATGTCATGCCTGGATACAGAAGGTCACCTTATTGTCCCTCCATGAGGGGTTTCATGTCCACTGCTCTGTGCATTCCCAATGCAAGAGGCCTAACTTTGGCCTGTGGCGATGTGGTCCAGCATTTTTCCCTGAAGGCTTGGTTTGGATGTGACATTATGGCAGGAAATGTCACCAAACTCAACCAGAGGCTACAAGTATACACACAATCGAGAAGCTGTGGCCCATAGCTCCATCAATAGGTCAAACTCCAGTCACTGTGTGAGATCTATAACGATTATACACTTAAATGTTAATGTGGCAGGAATGCATTATGCCCTGCTATGATGCGAAAAGACAAATAACATACATTTTAAAATAAAAGGCAAGTTTCAGGTAAAAGCCAGAGGACTGGTGACTGACACCAACCAATAAAGACTAAGTAAAAACAAGTACAGTATATGCAACATGTACAGTATGTGCACACTATGTTTTTTGAAAAATGAAATTTATGTAATTACTCTATTATTATTATACATATATAGTGTGTACAGATATGTACAGAATTATTTTTACTTCATATGTACATATATTTCATATATAGAAATTCAATATGTTTATAAATTACATTTCCATATGGGCAGGAAATGGAGGGGTTATGTTTCTTGAGTTCCTGGAAGCCTTTTAATGCAAATCTGTGTGTTGAGTGTGTTCATGTCCATTGATGCCAACTTTACAGTGATTGACTGAAAAACACATGCCACTGGAAACAATTCCTGAATGAAAAGATGTTTCTATTGAAAAGAGAAACTCCGAGCCAACGAGTGGTGATTATGACAGAATTGTTGTTTGTAGTACTGACAGAACAAGTGCCAAGGAAATGTACAATAATTTGAATGTATTATGACAACATGTAAACATGAAGGCAGTGTTGATTTGGAAGTAATTAGCATCAACAGCAAGTTAAAACAGAAAGGCTTCTTACTGAAATATAATATAATAGAAATCAGCCCTCACTCTACCATTAACATAAATAGATTTGAGAATTCACTGTAATATTAATTTCAATGGGTTTCTCTGCTGCCTTAAAATGTCAGACTACAAATGCACTTCCAAAACTGCCTTTTCCACCACTTGATTTAAGACCTGCTTTTTATAAGTGTACACATGTTACAGCGTTTACACATTAAGCGACTGGAATGATTTAACACGGGTGATGCATATTGCTCCATCTCATCTCTGCGGTGCTGATAAAATGCAGCACTTTACAATTAACATGATTGCGAGAGGGTAATAGGTCCCAAACGTGAAGCGGAGATGCAAACAGGAAATAGCTAACAACGGCTAATTAAACCCCAGCTCCCACTCTGCTAGATTAGATTCAATATAACCAGTATATTTATGTGTCAGCTATTGATCACAGAAGACTGTAATCATATAATGCACTAACACTCGTGAAACTGGTCGAACATCAATTATAAAGTGATTTTCAAAGAGGTTTGGAGCAGGAGCGGTGAAATTAAAGGGGGACATGTAGCAATTTAATTACTTTTTTTTTTCCTTTTTGGGAGGATTAAAGGTGGCTTGTTTGTTCTTAAAGGTGTTTTAATCCCTTTTAGGGTGATTAAGGTGAAAGACAACAAAGCCAAACAAGATTTGTTTCTCCTCCTTTTTGCAGCCTCCTTGGAGGAGCTGAGCAGGTCACTTAGAGCAGCGTCCTCAATCTCTGCCTTGTCGACATCACTGAAGGACAGACAGGTTGGAGGAGCAGCCACACACACAAGCACGCACACACTTGCAAATAAACCGTACTGATTTAATTTAGTCATCATCATCTCTCCAGATGGTTTAATTAAAATCGCAACTAATTATATTACTTTTAGGCTTGTTTCCAAAGACCTCACACATGCTTGAACCCACAATTTAATTTTTTTTTTTCCAAGTGGAAGGGCTTTCTTAAAGGGACGACTTTGCTTGCTCGTGTGACAAATTCGGCAGACCTCCTGTCTCAAATTCAAAAAGCCTCTTTGTCGTCTGGTGTGATTCATCTCTGTGGTTTTCTGTGTGTGTGTACAAGGCTCCAGGAAGATAAGAGCAAAGCCCAGAGTTGATAAGGGAGAGAGAAGGCAAACGTATAAAAGACCAACGTTGAATGGGCTGAAAGGAGATTGCGCCGATGAATGTTTTTCTATCACACAACCCAATGACACATTTAAATAGCTTTCTCTGAGTGTGTAACATCTCTTAAGATTCAAGGACAGTGAATGGTGCATTCACGTGCATTCCATACAACTGCATAGCAATTTGTAAATCTGCTATGCATTGAATTCATTCCTGCAAATAATGCTTTGAAGAGGAAAGTACAGCACAAGTACTCTCTAATGTTCTGCAGTGTTTTCTCTGATAAATCACTGTAAACACAGAGTAGCTTCTTAAGGCCAAAGGAAATGTTTTTAGAAAAGATTTTCTGTCAACAAATCGGTTAAATGCGATAACTCACAGCACAGTACACAAGCAAGCATACAGTGTGTTTCCACAGTTGCGCTTGAATCAATCGACTGACAAAGCGGCAACATGATGGCACACTTAGCAGCACATATTCAATGTCTGTTTACTTGAGTATATTTAGGAAAGTCTGAAGGTGAAAGCTGTGTGAGAAAAATGTGCCATTCGATGAGTTCACTGACTCAAAGTAATTTTCATATTCAGAAGAGAGGAGTCCAGCTGCGACCAATTCCCCTATAATTCAACATTTTTAGCTCATCTGAAAGCGGTTCATCTCAAAAACTGACGCATGAAAAATGGATGGTCTCAAGTGGAGGATCTGAAGTGTAAGTAGTCGACTAAAAATGGAAGACTTTATAAAGTGTTTTTGTTCCTGGTGCTTTAAAAGGTTCTGTTTGAACCATGTTTGCAAAATTCTCCAGAGTTCTGCATCAGTTCGCAACAGAAGAGAGATAAATGCAACAATGATTCTACTTTTTATACACCTTGGCATTATCTAAACAGAGTATTCAGATTAAAGAAACGAGTTACACTATCTGCATTGCACATTTTCACCCTTTGTCACTCGTTATATTGCAAACTAGCATATAACAGATAATCAGGCCCACTGCAACGATTAGCAATGGCCAGGCTGCCTTTTCAAATTCAATTATTGTTTTACCAATTAAATCTTACTGTAAATGCCCAAAAAACAAATTTCTAACCCTTTAAAACCCATTCTGCTAGATAACATGATCTGTTAAAAAAGATTCTTTATACAAATATTTTGAAATATTTATTTGGACAGTTATCAGCCTGTTTTCATTCACAGGTCAGCAAATACCAACACTTTGTCAGGCCCTATGGAGTCTCATAGTTATGCACAGGGCACCCTTCAGTGTTTCTATAGCCCCTTTTACACTGCCATATTTTCGGCGAATGTTGGGCCGTTTTACCGGTAAGCTGCGAGTGTTTAGACACACAGAGCAGGATTGGCAAGTTGATTCGCGGTGCCCAATTTTCCGCCTTGTAGGGTAGTCATATTGGCGGAAACCTTTTGGTTTAAAAAGAACGAGGCACCCTTCCGCCAGGGGGAGGGGCTGTTGATGACTTGTGGGAGGAGCTGTTGATGACACTGCACGTGCGACCCACTGGCGGTGGATAAACAGGAAACAGATGATAGCAGGAATTAGTGAGCAGCTAGTAGCAAGAGGGAAACACAAACCTGACAGACACTACAGTAAATATGAGCAAGTGGGGAGACAAAGAAGTGCGCGCCCTCCTTGTCCTCGCAAACAAAGAGGCCATTAACCGTCAAATGACGGGGAGAGAATCACCGAAGGACTGACGAGCCGCGGCTTCCCTCAGAGTATGTCGCTGTTTATGTCACACGCTAAGCTACACGTTTTATTACTTGCTCACGCACCCCATTGCCCCGAAAAAGGCACATTCTGTATGAACAAAAGTAGGTAGGCAACATTTTGCTGCACTCCCCGATTTTGTTTTTATACTGCCAATGTTGAAAGAAGACTGATTGGGCTTTCCTGCAAATTTGCACAATTCCTATTTTAAAAGGGCTTATGTGATGCACAGCCAAAGTACATTGTAACACATGATTAATGTTGTGATGGCAACAAAACTACTTGGTTAGGTTTAAAAAATATTTTGTTTTGAGTTTAATTAAGTACGTTTGATATGTAATGCACCATGACGTAAGTATGTCATGCAGGCCATACGTAAATTATGTAACTTTACGTTCAAACAATGGTGACTTTTGGTTTTCCACAGGACATAGTTATGTAAATTACAAAACGTTACTTTAAACAGCATTGACCTTTGGTTCCACATGGGATGTAGGTACGTAAATTACATAACGTTACATTAAAACAAGACTAACTTTTGGTTTCAGACAAAACACGGACTGTAGTCTCTTGAGTGAAAGTCTGTGTCAGCATCAAGTTTTACAATGGAATTCATTGAAAGCTGAGATGCTAAAGGGTGCCTCTGACATCAATATCACACACTTAGGGGCATGAAAAAGTGTTAGCATTTGAAGATCTGGGGATGACATCAGGCTGTAGTTACTGTGTGGTCGCTACACTTCTCTATTTCTGAATGAGGATCTGCTAAAATACATGGAGGAGGACACAAACACAACAAAACTGTCACTTGTCACTTGTGACTTATAGTGACAGACAGACAGTGCACATTACCTTGGTTACCCAATCCGGAATAACTATGTATGCTGCTTACACAGATATATTTCTCAATAGTCAACCTTTTAATTCATGCTAAAATCACATAAATAATATTGTAAAATCCTTTGGTTGGCCTGTTTTGCTTTCTCTCCCCAAACGCTTTCAGGTGGTCTTGGTCCTCCTGTTTGGTGTGCACCAGTCAGTTAAACAGTTTTCACACCAGCCTGAACAAACTACTGGGTACATTCCCCAGTGCTATTTTGAGCTGCACCAAACAGGTTTGATTTTAAAGCACCCATAATCTTTTATTTTAAATGATGGCCCACAAATTCACCACTGTGTAAATGTAAATCAGACAACTTAACTTAAAATACAGAGGAAGATTCATATGCATCGTTTCATCTGGAAGGCCATCCTTGGTGAGTGCCCTATCTACCTCAGAATGCTTTCTACTGCTTCAAAAACTATCAGATCAAAACCCAACATAAATAATTGTCATTGTTGGAATCCTCTACAAGATAAACTTATAATTGGAAACACTGCCTTCCTATCAGGCATTCAAACCCAACATTCAGAACATGTTTTATGAAGAATGTAACTGTTTTAAGCAGTTACGCTTTCTTTCATTATAGTACCACATATATGTACGTATATGTAAAGGCTGTAAATTAATTATGCATGATTGGTACAACCCATTTTGGCTAGGTTTGTTTTGTAAAAAAGGAAATGTTTCCCAAGAGACTCCCTGGTTTGATAAAGGTTTAATCAGTAAAAGGATATTTAAATAAAGACAAGACACATGCAGCAATATGCACTGGTCAAGAGGCTGCATCCATGTCATCATCCAGCTGCAATTGTCACAGTGAAAATAATGAACTGTAGCACTGCTAAGACATTAAAGCGCCATCTTGTTGCTGTATAGAAGCCATTCAGCTGAAAAAAAAACCCCTCTTAATATGTCATTAAGAGACATTAACAACATGACATGGGCTGCAGATGGAGCCAAATTACACGCCAATTAGATGTCAGCCGATTGGACCGATAGATGAGTCGATGGGAATGAGTATGGAGGCTTTCACGTGTTGTCATGCATTTTAAAAAGTTTATTTGCCAAAAAGGTGAAAAAGTGAGAGCATTAACTGCAGGATGAGCCACCAAACATCTGGGGATACTTATCATGATTCATGTCTCTGTAATGGACATTCAGATGTTTCATCAGGCCAGACGCGGTGAATGTGGCAACCCTTTAATGCACAGGGCATGAGGGTGACGTCATTCCCTGTCTTTTTTTAGCGCATCAGGCAAAAAAAAAAAAAAAAAAAAGGCGACGAAGAACGAATGAAGGACCACCTACTTAATCTGTGGAGAGAGGAGGAGTATTTACTTAAGTCAGACTTGAGGGCCAGCTCGTAGGAGGGCGGCAGATGGCTGAGGTTCTGGAAGGATCTGGACAGGGACAGGTCGTAGGGCTCCGTGGCTGAGGTCAGGATGTTGTTCATCCGCTGGGGTCTCTCTACAGGGGACAGGGGACAGGGGAGGAAGCGGTGCGGTGGAGTCAAGAGTACAGTCAGTAAGAAAGATGGGTTTTACACTGGGAGTCTTTACTGAAGGAGAGAAAGGGAGGCTGATATAGAGGGCCATGTGATGTGGTGAGAAGTGTGAATTGAGAAAGACTTGTGCTGGATGTGCTTGTGCTCTTTTGCTTTATGGAAGGAGGGTTGTAGTGGTTGTAAAGGTCTGGATGCATTTTGAGATGTACAGCAGTTTGATTTTGACCTATTTGCTCCAGAATCAATATCAGCATGTTGGGTTATTAGAGCCACGGCTGCAGGCAGGGAGCCACTGTTCTGCATTAACTCCTAGATGTGCACTCAGTCCAAATGTGAAGTGAATATTTGGCTCATTTTATTTGAACACAAGACTGTGTTTAATTGATACAGCCAATGCACTGACACAGCATACACTACCTGTAGTTAGGTAGTTGAGAATGACTTTGTACATTATGTACTACGACCATTTTAAATATTTAAAGATCCTCTTATGTTTATGTCCCTAAAATGTCTGACTTTGAGATTGCAGAGTTTGTCACTGGAGAGGTGTTCTCACATTCCTCTGTTGAAGAAGGCGATGTCTGTGCACTTCCCCAAAATCTGAGATTCATATGCATACGCCGGACCAGCTCGATTACATATGTCACCAATATGAAAGCCAATTGCTGTCTAATACAGGAAACACACTTTGATAGGGGAACAGACTTCGACACGACACTGGCAAAGAAACCCAAAACCTCCAGTGCAGAGCAGACTTATCAGTGCAGAGAGCAGAGTTAGGATTACCACAGTGAAAGTTATGATAGCAAATATGTTGGAGTGTGGATGTTACCTGGATTTTGGAGCTTCCTTCCACTACCTACCTAAAACCCCACTGCAGCAGATATTACTGTACATTACACAACAATTAACGATGTGTTGGCCACTGCCAGTTAGCCCAAAAGCTAATAACATAACAAACAACATGGACAAATAATGGATGCTAACTACATTTACTATTCAGATATGTTTGCGAGTTGCCCATTTTGGTGCATGACAGACTCCTCATCTGAGACTGGGTCAGACCATGGCTCAAATCTTTTCAATATTTTCTCTAATGTTAAGGCTAGCCATCTTGATGCACACTGTTCTCGCAGCTGTCAACCTAGCACTAGAAGCCAGCCCTGGAGAAGCAAAAAATAAAAATAAAACCTAGCCCAAGCATTGGTGGTGGATAGTGCGGAGGCCAGATCTAGAATTTCTTAATGAGGGAGATGCAGAGTAGATCTGTTTCCTCCTTTTTAAAAGTTTCTTATGAAAATCCATGTTAAAAGGAATCATAGCAGAGTATTTTTTTTTTTTTTTTTTTTTTTTTTTTTACATATTTTTTTACATATTTTTTTTTACATTTATTTATGTCGGGAGTGGCACTACATAAGTCTTGCTTGTTGTGTTATTTTACTTCAGATACTATCCTTTCTCCTCCTCTGTTTGTACATTTACAAAATGGTGTCATCTGCAAATAAATGTATCCCATTCTTACACTGACTGAGTGTTTTTGGTCGGGTATGGAACTTTAACTAAACAGTACAAAAAGTTTAAAAGGAGGTAACATGCTTGGATGATGAACTGGAAATTTTGATGTCCAGTGTTAAATTTAAAAGAACACCCTAACAATTCAGAAGTGGTTTTGACAACATTTTAGAAACTATAGTATTTATTGCCCGAACTAAACTTGATTTTTGAAGGGAGTCTGGTGACTTTCCATTGAGTATTTCAAGGTCACGGTTTACTGAATGTTGACAACTTGTAGCATGAGTAAAATGTACTAATCTGTGCTTCTTATCCTTCACACATTCTGAGCAAGCTGCAAATCTGTTAACTGTGTCTAAGCAGCTCAAGTGACACATTGCGAAATGCCTTTAACAGTTCACTTTTGGGTATCAGTGATATGTATGGCACCATGAAGGCTCCCTGCACTGCACAGAGCTCCTGTGGCTTCAGTATTTGGGACGCCCAGTCATGGGTCAAGAGGCGCAGCGGGCGGGGCGGGCTGGGATACGGGCAGGGACTGTGGTGCTGGATTTAAAAATAGGACTGGGTGACTACTGCAGCAAGGAGGGACAGGGACACACAACACCAAGGAACATATGGTGTAGAGGGGAGACATTCACTGAATTGGAAAAAGAGTGTGCTGGCATGTGTGTGGGTTTGTAGGGAAGATAGAGCCAGTTAGGTGGAGTGAAAGAGTAGAAATAATGTGTGAAGAAAAGATTCTGAGATCAGACCAAAGGTCATGGATTGTAATGCAACGGCGTGAAATTTTGTGGCAGCAAAAAATACACAAGCGCTTAAAAAGGGAGAAACAAAAGGAGAATAAAAAAATGACCCCCAGTGTGCAGCTGAAGAATTTTGATCTCTACATGATATATGTGGAAGAAAAAGTGAAGAAAAAATACACATAAACACCAGGTGTATGTGTATTACTTACCGTATCTCATTTGTCTGTGGGCTAACAAATCCAAGTGAGAAAGAAAGGATCAATGACAATCAATGTGCACAGTATTCTTCAACCAAACCTCCCATACTATAGAGGTTGCCCTTGTTCAAAGCCAGTACTGCAGGAATGTTGCCAAGGGTTAACACAAAGTCTAAACCAGCAACTCTGGAATTATGCATAAGAGCTACCATCCTCATCAGAAACTAAATAGACTTCAAAAGTGCAGTTTGAAGAGTTTTATTTGGTGCTGAAAGTACTTTTGAAACCCATTTTCCCAGTGAAAAGGCCGTCCTGCTTAAGAGGCAGACAAGCGCATGCAGAATGTGGACTGCAGCGCTCCATTAATGCTAGAAAAGTTTGTATGATGAATCAACGACACTGACACAAAATGTTGGCCTCTGCAGTTTTTAGAATATCATAGAAGGGAGTTTTTTCATAACCAGTAAGGCCAGATTCCCTCTTTAATTACTCAGTGTTTCATTTCATTGCCGTTTAGATGCAGGAGTATTCAGTAACTCCACACTTAAACTTGCTCTCCTTTCACAGAAAATCACATTTAGAGAAATAGATAGAATGCAATAACAGTAATTGAGTTTTCAATATCTGCAGCAAACTACACAGATGATCCTTTGATTATCATACACTGTTTTGCTTTTCATTTTCTCTGCGGACTTCTTTATCAGTTTCTCAGATTTTAATTTCCCCGTGAAAGATATACTTTTGTCCTTGAAATTGGAAATCACAAGAATTGTTTGGCTTACTTTCATTTAGAGAAATATAATAATGCATATCATTTGGGAATGTCAAGTCGGGTCAATCACCACCCCTCAAAGTCAGAGCAGAACTTTACTTTAGTACTGAAAAGATACAGCATGCTTTTCTGGAAATGCATTTCACATGTACTTTTTCATTGTAAGTTTACACAGTGATCCTTTGCACTATAAATAATGGCATACCTCCAGTTAAGGACTATGCTACATTACATTGTTTTCTTACCCAGTTTAGGTGTGAGCGCAGTCAGATCCAGGTGGCTGTGCTGGAAGTCATGGTGGTGGTTTCCTATTGTGGGTAGAACAGAGAGTGACAAGAGGAAAATCAGTCATAGCATCAGACTGTCCTTATCCTTGGCGTTACAGGGTTACTTCACTCAAAATACCAAAAAAACATATCTTTGGTAACTTCTTTTGGTATCTTTGGTGAGTTTCATTTGACATTAAAAATTTTAATGGCAGTGTCTTTTTACAGTTGCAGCAACACTTTCTCGTCCCAACTCTTCAAATGCCACCTCTTTGTCAGTGGACCTTAACTTCAAAGTATAGCTATGTTTCCATCCAAAAGTGATCTGAATCATTGGGAAATGCGCTTTAAAAGAAATAGGAATCCTGTGTGTTTCCATTAAATGTACGGACTTTGGGGCTTCTGTGGCTTAGTGGTAGAGCAGGCGCCCCATGTACAAGGCTGTTGCCACAGTGGCCCAGGTTTGAATCCAGCCTGTGGCCCTTTGCTGCATGTCATCCCCTCTCTCTCTCTCCCCCCTTCACGCTTGTCTGTCCTGTCCATTAAAGGCAAAATGGCCCAAAAAATATCTTTAAAAAAAAAAGTACGGACTACGAACTACGAACTCGCGGGAGTTTTCCGCAGAACCGGAAACAAACCAAGTCTTGCATTCTTCTTCTTCTACGTTTTCTGGTGGTTGGCAACCAGCTTGTAAATGCATTACCGCCTTCCCGACCCGGAGTGTGGATATCACCATGGTGAGAGGTGGGCCTCTCTATATCTGTGTCTGATGCTGATGCCCACTGACAAAATGGAGGTATTCATCGAGCTGGAGTGAGAATGTGCTGGTCTCAACGTTTTGGACACTGCTGGGACACAGAGCTAGCATAGCTGTAGATAACCCTTTTCCATACATGTGGTGGCTCGACTTGACTCGGTTTGACTCGGCATGTCATCTCAGTGTGGCAGGGATTTGTATCCTTATACAACAGTGCTACCTGCCTGAAAGTGCACTTGCTTAAAAGTTGCTGGTAGCTGCCAGTAGCTTTTGAGCAGCACAGTAATTAGTAACACAATTAATAAACTAATAACCTCTTTTGAGGCTTCATTATTGACATTATAAATAATTATAATAAAGCCCATCTGATGTCACCGCAACCTGTGTGGAGGCAGTCAGGCACACTTAGACCCCCCCCCGAAGATGGTCCATCTTGGGCACAACACAGCACAACTCACTACGTTTAACCCGGTAATGGAAACACAAATTAACGTAGCATGGTTTGACTCGGCCCGGCCAACAGTGCCAATGGAAAAGCCCTATAGGTGTCTAAAGTCTACTTGTTTCATACATTATGTAAACACTTTGAAATGGCCATTTTGTCCTGTAATAACCGATACAAATAACCTGTCCTGCCTTAATAATCCAGACACCTCTTGGATGATCAAAATCAATGTTTCTCAAATGGGGGTACGGTATCCCCAGGGGTACTTTGGAGTACTGCAGGGGGTACGTGAGATGCTTTTTTAAAATGTAAAAAAAATTTCAGTCATTCATAATTCTTAAAATAATTATACTAAGTTTGATAAACCACATCTTAAATTCAATATTTTGTAAATTGCTGTAAACTTTCAACTGCTACAAAAAATGCAATCATGTTCCCATTTACATTTGTTCATTGTGTGTTTCCACCAAAAAATGTTCTTTCAAAGGGGGTACATTATTGAAAAAAGTTTGAGAACCACTGATCGAGATACTGTGTCGCCATGGTCAAGTGGGTGAAATATGTGTTCTGGGATTAGGTAAACTGACCCTTTTTAAAGAAAGTCCCTGCTGTGAGTTCAGCACAACAAGCAGTCTGACAAATGTTATCATTCTGTGTGACAGAGTATCAGACGTCTTTTCCATCCAGTTTGGTCAGTGTTTGCCGTTTCCCCAGATACGTAAGCTCTGATTTGTTCTGTGTGTCTCAAGTGAGTGGTAAACTGTCACGGCTCAGTTATTGGACTGTGAGTGTTTCTTCCATTTGACAGAACCCACAGTGTACCACTGCTTTGCCAAAAAATGATTGATTACAGCCTCCTTATATGGGAACATGGAAGCAGCTACACCTCATGGTGATCCATCTTTGATGTTGCGCTAATATCGTTACGTGTTGTTCAAGTGGTTAAAGAACAAAGCAACATCATCTGAGACCTCCATCACTGAGCAGCGATGGGAGTTCAAATAATTTCAGAGTGAAAATATTGCCTTTATTCAATTACGCTTTGTGTTTGTGAACAGCAGAGCAAACAAAACATGGATCTGTGATAGTTGTACCTTATTTGCATTTAAATATGTTCATCTATCATCCTACACGAGTGGTAAAGACAATAAAAACCTGCCTCTGATAGCATAAACCTACACATATGAGCTCTTTAGCAAGCTTTGAAGTGACGACGGGGGTTGTGTTCTGCTTTTGTTAAAGATCAGTGCCTGTATTTCAAAGATAATGCTTTCCCCAGCGGGTGGATGTGACATTTCTGACAAATGTTATTTGACTTTTGCTAAGATCTAAGCCAGTGTAAAGATGAATCGTTCAGATTTCAACGCGTTGTCGGAGTTTCTTGTTTATCTCAACTGAAATTGATATTCAATTCAGGAAAAGAGGAAATGTAAAGACCCCATTTAAATGGTTTTAAGTCGTTGTGTACCATAATTATAAAACAATTCTTTGGTCCGCTCTCCCTGAAGCTGTACTCTGCTTTCCAATCACACAGGTTTGATCAAGGGACCAATTACAGCGGCTACAGAGAGCTCAGCTAAATTACCCTGCTATGAACTTGAAATGAAAGCAGTTTTGCACCAAATAAATAACAACCTTTTACTATCTGTGTAATTGCAGGTACTATTTTTCTTCCAGAGCACAGCAAACCGACTGCCACATAAATTTTACACATTAAAATGTACAACGGGTGTTTAACCAGGGTTCAAAAGTTTATCACCCAGCGAGGATGTTTTGTCTTTGAGGTAATCTCAGTTCAGGGTTTACATGTGTGTGATCCAATTATCTCCTTTATGTGAGGTATTTGACTCTTATTGCTGCTATTGTGCAGCAACTCTGCCACTAAACTGAGCACTCATTGTAAAAAAAAAACAACCCAAAACTAATAACTTGTTTATGAGGAGGGTGAATGTCACTGAAAAGTCTGGTCCCAGCACTCGATAAATGTAGCCAGACGTGAATCAGCCTCGGGAAAGTGAGCAAATCACACGACACAAAGCAGTCAGAGGGAATTCACACAAAATATAGTTATTTCTGAGGCTGGAGTGTTTGTTCTCCACTGACCAAACAGAACTAAAGCAGCAATGTCATCTGAAAACTGCAGTAAGATGTCTGAAAATGTGAGTTTGCGTCCTCAAGTAAACTGCAAAGATCTGAACAACTGAAGGGGAGCAATGTTTGGAAATTATTTGAGGCCAGTCTGATGCTCATATTCGTATTTCTTTGTTTGTTCCACAAGTACAGAGACAGGAGAATTTCACCAGAAGAAAAAGTCGAGTTCATCATGCGGACTTAAAGTTGCAGTTACCAGAATCTGATTTGTTTAGACATCCTCTTCCACCAAAAATGACAGGTTACCAAATGAAATTGAGTACACTGCTGTTGCAATAAACTACAGTCTGTTGCAACAGCTGTGGAAGGAGCTTTTTCCGTTGTTTGTCACTCTCCAGTTGCGCCTTTTAAAAACACTTGATGTGCACATATTCTGACAGAGCACACTGTATGTTTTAGTGAATTTAAACAGTAAAGACATAAAAAATCCATGACACAAAAAGCTATGCCTAAAACTATATTGCATATAGAAAAGTATGTGGACACCAGAGCATTCCAGCCGTATGTGATTATTAAACACGTCATTTCAAAACCATGGGCATTAATGTGCTGCCAGAACAGCCTCCACTCTATTCATGTTTTCCACCAGATGTTTGAACCTGGCTGCAGGGATTTGCTCCCATTCAGCCAAGACAGCGCCAGTGAGGTCGAACACTGATGTTGGGAGATAAGGTCTGGCTCACAGTCGGCGATCCAGTTCATCCCAGAGGTGTTGGATAAGGTTGAGCTCAGGGCTCTGTGCAGGCCAGTCGTGTTCAAGCTGGGAAAACCATTTCTTTATTGCTTTCTAAGAATATTTCATGGCCATTTTCACCTTCATTGCTTGGTTGACAGTAGAGAGGCTGACAGGAAAAGGGGAATGAGGAGGCTATGACAGCAACCAGGAAAAAACATTTTTCTATGTACCTGACTTTGTGTACTGGGGTATTGTTGCCACAAAGTTTGAAGCACACTGCCATGTTGGGCTGTGAAAATAAGCCTTAAAAGGTTCAGTGTGTAGGATTTGGATGCATCTATTGGAAGAAATGGTATATAATATAGATAACTGTGTCTGAATTCGTGTAAAATCACCTGAAAATAAGAATTGTTGTGTTTTTGTTATCTTAGATTGAGCCATTTATATCTACATACAAAGCAGGTCCTCTTCCACTGAGTCTAATCCTAAACACTGGACCTTTAAAAGGAACTAAGGGACCAATAGTACAACCTTAACCATAAAAAAAGAGCTACCTTACTAACAATCTTTCAAGATATTGCAAACATACAGTATCTTCTAGAATATACAGAATATCTTACATGTCACAAACGGGAGTAAGTAGTAATTTGTTTGGAACTATTCTCAGAGGTGGATTAATATACAGTCTTTATCCCACATGCTCTGCTGCCCCAAACACAATAGAATCTTTATTATCCACCAGGAGTGGGACTTTGTCTTTTGCTCACCAGACTCAATAGACAACACTGTAAAAACCAATCAAATATTCAGTAAAACAAACATACAAAGTCATTACAAAATGCTTAACACATTTAATCAGCCCATTGTCTGTCTATGGTTCAAAAACTCATCAGTCACTTTGTTGAGTTAAGGAAATTAATGGCACTTAGGATAAAGGACTTCTTAAATACACTTTTTGTTGCCAGAGGGACTCTGGCATGGGAACTATCTGCCAAGATACTCCTCGCTTTCTT